GATTTTAGATGGTTGATTCCAGAAAGGATCTTAATCTACTGGGACATGAAAAGATACAGACTGGACACACCACTCAAAGCAATGGAATTTTTCGACAACCACAAAGCATTCTTGGAAAAAGGTGATCCCGAACCCAAGAAGCAAAAAGAAACAGTAGTTGAAGGAGCTGCTAAACAAACAGAGGAGGAAGAAATCAAAAATACATACCCAAAAGAAGGAGCAAGACTGAGAGACCAGAGACAGATAAGATCAGCTAGAAGATTGAGATCTAGATATAATTGAAAGCGATGGAGGAGATTGGAATTTTATCAATAAATATAAATGGACTAAACTCTCCTTAAAAGGAGAAAATTTTTAAAAGACTACAAAAACTAAAAATGGACATAATTTGCCTCCAATATTAAGAGACAACATTTCAAAATCCTAGAACAATTGAAAATTGGCAAACTTCATTTTACACTTGCATCTCAAAAGAAAAGAGGAATAGCCCTTTACATTAAAGAAAAGATGAATCCCAAACAAATCTATGCAGATGAAGAGGGGAGAATACTAATGGTGGAAATTATGGTGGATCAAAAACAGATATTGATGGTAGCAATATATGCACCTAATGATAAGCAAGAGCAATTTTATCAACAACTACACAAGAACATATTGGATTTAAGTTACCAAAATCTTTGTATAATGGGAGACTTTAATGCAATAGCAGATGCAACTTTGGATTATAAAAGCCATAAACAAGGGAGAAAAGGAGGAAATATACTACCTAAAGCATTTTCAGAAATGAAAGAATTTTGTATCCAAGACATATGGAGAGAGAGAAACCCAGAAAAACTACAATATACATTTTATTCAAATAGACATAAATCATGGTCTAGAATTGATATGATATGGACATCTTTCGACTTCAAAATGATAATACAAGAGGTGGAGATAGAAACTAATGTTTGGGCAGATCACAACCCAATAAAAATGACCTGGAAAGGAACCAAGAAAAAACTAAGATGGTCTCTGAATAAATCTATATTGAAAGAAAAAGAATTCTTACAATTAGCAACAAAGGAAATGGCTTATTTTTAAAAAAAAAATAAACGAGAAAGAAGAAACATCCCATCAAAAGTATGGGACATGGCCAAAGTATACTTCAGAGGGCTGGCTATAACTTATGCTTCTAAAAAAAATAAAGAAAAGAAACGATTACAGTTAAAACTGAGAGAAGAACTTAAAAAAATGAACTAGAGTTACAAACAAACCCACAAAAGAAAGTCCTCAAGAAACAAATGGAGATAATAAAGCATAAATTAAATCTGGCTGAGATGGAAATAATGGCTCAACAGATTAAATGAACTAAACAGAATTTCTTTGAAAATGCTAATAAACTGGGGAGATGGTTAGCATATAGATTGAAGAAAGAAAAAGAAAAAAAAGCTACAAGATTCAAAAGGAGAATTACAGTTCCAAAATGATGCAATGAAAAAAATCATTAAAGACTTCTATGAGATACTTTATAAGGCAGAGGAAGTTCCTAAAAAAATATACAGCTGTACTTAAAAAAAGCAGACTTGCCAAAAATTCTGGAGAATATTCAAAATATATTAAATGGAAAATATCAATGATGGAGATTATAGAAGCCATAAAAAGGAAAAAAAAAAAAAGGATAAGACTCCAGGCCCAGATGGACTTCCCGCAGAATTTTATACATCATTACAAGATGTATTAAGTCCAACTTTGAAAGAACTGTGTAATGAAATCCTCTTGGAAGCTAAAATACCAAAGTCGTGGATTGAAGCTAACATTACCTTAATATCTAAAGAAGATACTGATCTCACACAAATAAAAAAACTACAGACCAATATCGCTATTAAATGTGGATTATAAAATCTTTGCTTCAATAATGTTAGAAAGAATTAAGAAATTCTTGACTGAATTTATACACACAGACCAAAATGGCTTTCTACCTAAAAGACAGATAAAAAAATAATTTAAGAATGATTTTGGATGTTTTAGAGTATTATGAAAACCATCCAGGGAAACAGATGGCATTAATATTTCTTGATGTGCAAAAACCATTTGATAATCTGAACTGGCAATTTATGTTCCAGCAGTTGGTGGAATTGGACTTTGGGAAAAATTTCATAAATGCAATTCAAACAATCTGTAAGGACCCACCCCACTTTGCATCTTAAGAAGACAGAACTCTTGGAATAATTCTTCCAACAGGAATCCTTTATTAAGAGAAAATGGTTGCAGGCGTTTTAGACAGGACTTGGGGTTCAAGCTCTCCCATTCGAGGTTTTAAGGGGTTCCCCAGTAGTCCCACCCAATCACCCCCCTCTTCCAGTGACAGTTTCAGGCATCACAATCCCACCCCTTTTTTCCTTTCTTCCGGCTGGATGGAGACTTCAGATAAACTACATGAAAGGTAAATAGCCTCCTTTGTTATGATAAGGCCTTTTGGTGCTAACCACATTCAAACCCTTTGAAGTTGTACCAAAGGAAGTGAGGGCCATAAAGCCCCTTTGTTCACCCCCCCTCTCTTTCTTTATGACAGAATCCAGAGAGGGCAGAAATGGGGTTTTCTGTAATTGATAACTGGAGATGAAGTATAATTGGATTCTGACACAATCTACCATAAAAAAATGATTAGAATAACCTTAAATGGAGACTATACGGAAAATTTTGATATCAAAAAAGGTACAAGACAGGGATGTCCATTATCCCCATTGTTATTTATACTAACATTAGAAGTACTGACTAGAAAGATAAGATATAGAAATTAAAGGATTGGAGATAAAAGATCAAAAATATAAATTACAAGCCTTTGCAGATGACTTGTTTTTTATCTTGGAGGAGCCACTTGAAACAACTACTAAATTGTTGGAGAGAATAGAAAAGTTTGGAGAAGTGGCAAGTTTGAAAATAAATTAAAAAAGACTGAAGTATTGACAAAGAACTTAACAGATAAACAGAAAAGTCAACTTACAAAAAAGACAAATTAGTTTAAAAAGTTAAGTAAAGTACTTAGGAATCTACCTAACAGCAAGATGTGCAATATTAAAAGAAGACAACTATGAAAGATTGTTAAAACAAATGAAAATGGATTTGAAAAAGTGGAAAAATCTTCTACTGTCATTGTTAGGAAGAATAGCTACAGTGAAAATGAATATCTTACCAAAAATACTCTTCTTATTCCAAATGATTCCTGTAAAACTGGGAAAGGTCTTTTTTGATGACCTAATCACAACAATATTGAGATTTATTTGGCAAGGGAAAAAAGCACGAATTAAAGTGAAAATGCTACAAGAAGCTAAAGATAGTGGAGGATTTGGACTCCCGGACTAGAGACTATATTATCAAGCAGCTATTCTATCATGGCTTAAAGAATGGATAACGCTGAGAAATAAAAGACTATTGTACCTAGAGGGGCAGGACCTACAAATCTGTTGGCATGCCTTCCTATGGTACGGGAAGAATAAAACACAGAGATATTTTCAAAACCATGTTATAAGAAATGCAGTTATTTTAGAATGGGAAAGAATAAAGGAGAAAATTTATATCAATGGCTTTCAACAATGGAAGCTTTTGCTTAAACAAATTTAATTAACCATGACAAAGTCGTGACTTATAAAGATATCTTGGATAACAAAGGAAAATTGAAAGATAGACAAGATTTATAATGATAAGGTATTGATTTACCATGGTGGGCATATTTGCAAATTCAAATGAGATATGAAAAAGATGTAAAGAAAATGACAGACAGAACTTGATCAAATATTGTTAAAAACAGATGAAAACTTAATTAAGAAACTCTATAGATTTCTGCTAAATTTAAAGATGGAAGAAGAACAAGTAAAAGAAACAATGATAGTGTCGGCAAAAAACTTTGGATATTCTATAGATTTGGAAGACTGGTATTTCTATTCTATGGGATAGAAATATCAAATTGACTAAAGCAGTCTTGTATAAAGAAAATCTGTACAAAATGTTTTACAGATGGCACATGACACCAGTAAGATTAATGAAAATGTTTAAAAATACTTCAAATAATTGCTGGAAATGTAAACAAAGGCCAGGTACTTACTATCATATCTGGTGGACATGCCCTAAAGCAAAAACATTTTGGGTTAAGATACATACATGGTTGGAAAAATGATTAAAAGAAAGATTGAATTTAAACCAGAACTGTTTTTGTTAGGAATATTAGGACCTAATTATGAGAAGGAGAATGAATATTTAATATTGCATATACTAACTGCAGCGAGAATAGTATTTGCCCAATATTGGAAAAATGAAAACTTATCAACTGAAGAGGTTTTAATTAAGAAAATCTTAGAATGTGCAGAAATGGATAGATTGACCTTAGAGATTAAAGAGAGATTCAGTTTACTTTAAAACATAGGATAATTTTTACCAATGGTTAGGAAAACGAACTAGTGAGAAATGAATGTTATTTTGAATATATATTAGTAAGAAGAATGATATGCATTAACTAACTGATACCTTTTATGATTATCATTTATTACACTTATTACAGTCACTTATTACTATATCAACTATTGTTAACTAAACATTTGTACCCCGACAATAGTCTGTTTGCTAAAGATTGAAAATGTTATTGGGGGGTAACCCCAATGTTGATCCCAACCCCCTCCCAACCATAATCCTGATCCCAACCCATCTTAATCCCTATCCCGATCCTATTCCATTCCCAACCCTATAAAACTCAATAAAATCTTTTTTAAAAAGAAAGGGTTTTGTTTTTAGTCATACTCATTAAAAAAATAGATGTTTTATAACTTGTCATGCCAATGGCAGTCATTATCTAAATTGCCAGCCCCAGGAAACATTTAACTGAAAATACTCGTGACATCACTCAGGATTTCGAAGGTGCCCACTTGTCTCAAAAATTTGGGAAGTCCTGTATACTATTTGTGCAAGACTTTTCTGAGTGGCATATTTTTTTTCAACCTTCAGGATGACTAAATTGTCATTTCACTCACAGGTGATGGTGCTTTGAAGGGTGCTGTCATGATCAAAAGCTATAACTGTAACCTCATACGGCTGAGGACTAGAATCTTCTCCTGGATGGCAATTAAGGCAGTAGCATCTCACACAAACAGAAACAATGGCACAGAGAAGGAGGAGCCCACCAATGGCAACCACAAGCCTAGAAGTGAAGAACAAGAAGAATCAGAACTCTTGCCATTTGTTCATATAATGGAAAAACCTAACAAACTATTGTTATAAAACTGGAAATGCACCAAGTTCTCTAACAGACAAAATTTTCTAGATGTTCTAATTTCTACAGAAGGCCTACAGCTAACTAATGTTCTAATTTCTAGAGAAGGCCTACAACTAACTCCAGAACTGAATCAAATGGATATCACTACTAACCAATTCAGTTACATTAATTACATTCCATTTCTTTCTTTCTTTCTCTATTAGACTACACACTGATAAAAAATATTCTTGGCATACAAATAACTTAATTAAAGTTGATCATAAGAGCAAATTGACCCACTAAACAAACAGATTGTTCCTTCACCACCTCCTTCTTAGAGATATTTGGCAAAAGAAAGACAATCTTATAATGAAGGTAAGAATCAAGGGGTCAATAAAAAAATATACCTGTTTAGAGAAGTGTGCTCTTTCCTCCACTTGTGCTTTCCGGGTGCTCAGCTTCACATTTCCCTGCATCTCTGAAATACTAATCACATTAACCACTTTCCTGACCTGCAGTTCTTTTCCCTAACTTAGTTCAGTAACCTGTTTCTAAGGCTCTGTCCTCCAATCCACCAAGCATTACCTCTTCTCTTTAGTTGAAAGCTTGAAAACAATGTACTATACAGGTAGTCTTTACAACCATTCATTTAATGACTATGATGGAGCTGAAAAAATGACTTATGGCTAGCTATCACACACAACTGTTGCAGCATTTCTGTGCTCATACAATTAACATTTGGGTGGTTGACAACCACCATGTATCATGTGATCGCCATTTGTAACCTTTCTGAGGTTTTTGGCAATGTCAATGGGAGAAGCCAAATTCACTTAATAACCATAGGATTTGCTTAATGAACATAGCAAAAAAAGATATAACATCAGGCACAACTTAATGACCATGTTGAGTAAACTCTGAAAGGAGAAAGGAAGGAAGGAAAGGAGGAAAATTGCCTAAACAAATATACATATGCAGATCATACATTCATTGCCTATCCTCTCTAATCTATTTGTAATCTAATCTATATGTACACCTATAATTTATATCTATATTTAATTGTACCTCTGACTTAATTACAACAATCCTTGGTTGTATAAACAGGCATAGAATCAAAATCATGTGAAGTATTAGTATCGCTTTATAAAGCCTTAGAAAGGCCACACCTGGAATACTGAATCCAGTTTTAGTCACCACATTACAAAAAAGATGTTGAGACTTTGGAAAAAGTGCAAAGAGCAACTAAGATGATTTAAAGACTGGAAATTAAAACATATGAAGAACGGTTGCAGGATTTGGGATGGCCAGTCTAGAGAAAAGAAGGACTAGGGAGGATATGATAGCAGCATTCCAGTATTTGAGGGGCTTTCAGGTCCCTGTCGGAACTCTACCATCCTGAGTGGAGGGAAACTATTACTTGATAATTGAAGTATTTGCTGCTTTCACTTTGATGTATCTGTGTGGGAAATAGGGAGGGGGGAATGGCCTATCAGGGCCATCTGGATAGACTCTTTTCCAGCCAGTTTCAGCCTGTTACCAAGGTCACTGTGCTGAGAAGACAACTTCTTGGCTTGGAGTTCTCATAATATCTTCACACCAGAGGATTGGCTTCCCTGGAATCACTTTCTCTCACTAAAAGTTCATTTTGAAATAATGCCTGTTTCAAGAGTCATGCTTTCCTGAGAAGATAGCTGAGGCAGGATCTTACATTAGATGGAATCTGCAAAGTGCTCAACCTGGAGAAGCACCTGTCCTACCGTGGGGACCATTTATCTGGTCTATGACTAGGACCTCCATGTTTTCTTTAAGCTCGGTCCTTCTCTATGGTGAGAAATATATGTGGGGTCCTTGGTGCTCTCTGGACTTGCTTGATTTTTTGCAGATGTTTCATTACTCAAACTAGGTAACATAATTAGTGCTAGAATTCCCATTTGCATACTGTCTGAAGTGTTTGATGCCCATATGTAGTACAAATAAAGGAGAATATTTGTAGCTCAGGGTTGAAATGAGGGATCCTTGGTGCTCTCTGAGCTTGCTTGTTTTCTTGAAGACATTTCATTACTCAAACTAGGTAACATTATCAGTGCATCTGTAAAATATGTTCATATGTTCATATTAGTAAAGTTGGAAGGGACCTTGGAGGTCATCTAGTCCAACCCCCTGCTCGGGCAGGAAACCCTACACCATTTCGGACAAGTGGCTGTCCAGTCTCTTCTTAAAAACTTCCAGTGTTGGAGCATTTACTGCTTCTGGAGGCAGGCTGTTCCACTGATTAATTGTTCTCACTGTCAGGAAGTTTCTCCTTAGTTCTAGGTTGCTTCTCTCCTTGATTAGTTTCCACCCGTTGGTTCTTGTCCTGCCTTCAGGTGCTTTGGAAAATAGCTTAATTCCCTCTTCTTTATGGCAGCCCCTGAGATATTGGAATACTGCTATCATGTCCCCCCTTGTCCTTCTCTTCGTTAAACTAGACATACCCAATTCTAGCAACCGTTCCTTATATGTTTTAGCCTCCAGTCCCCTAATCATCTTTGTTGCTCTTCTCTGTACTCTTTCTAGAGTCTCAGCATCTTTTTTGCATCGTGGTGACCAAAACTGGATGCAGTATTCCAAGTGTGGCCTTACCAAGGCATTGAAGAGTGGTATTAATACTTCACGTGATTTTGATTCTATCCCTCTGTTAATGCTTATTTATGGATAAATATTTCAAGATCCCAAACAGATAGATTCACCCTAAAATAAATCCTGAGACACCTGTCTCAAACAGAAAACAAATTGCAAGGATGTCATTCTCTCCCCCCATACAGATTTAATTTTATAAAATTCTCTCTTCAAGAGAGTTTGCAAAGGGCTGCTACCTTCTGTTTTATTCTCATTGTCCCTGCCTCTCTATACTAAAGAAATGACTCATTTCCTTAAGTATTCTCTCATGCATATGTGGAATCAGGTTAGAAGCGTAAAAATAGCTTCTCCAATTCCAGATCCAGAAAGAAAGCCAATGTATCTTTTTTGAAGTTTGGCAAAAAAAAAAAAAAAAAGACAGAATACTCATAATATTCTTTGTATTGGATCTATTATAGAAAAATATTGTTAACTTTATAAATGAACTAGGAAAATATACAAAATTTGGCTTCTGAAATTCTTTATCTCTTAATAAGTTTCATCTGATTCATATGACTGGGAAGAGGGAAGGGTCTAAGAATAACAGCATAACAGGGTTTAATTATAAGACTTTGGAGGTCTTATAATCTTATAGCCCAACCTCCTGTCTGAAGAGAAGACCCTATGCCATTCTGGACAAATGGTTGTCCAAACTCTTCTTGAAAACCTCCAGTGATGGAGCACCCACAATTTATGGATGCAAGCCATTCCATTGATTAATTATTCTCTCTGTCATGAAATTTCTCAGTTTTAGATTGGATCTTACTTTTATCTTCTTATCCTGCCCTCTGATGCTTTAGAGCAGGGGTGTGAAACTGCCAGCCCATGGGCCGGTTGCATTATACGGAGGCCTCACCCACCCCAGCTCTGGCAATGCAAAAAAAGTCACGATACATCGCGACATGTCATGTGACATGGTGAGTTTGACACCGTGCTTTAGAGAATAAGTTGACCTCATCTTCTCTGTGACAGCTCCTCAAATACTGGAAGACAGGTATCATGTCACCCCTAATCCTTTTTTTTCGGCTATAGATATCCAGTTCCCTTGACTATTTATATGTGTGGAGAAGTAATCTTAGTATTCTCTTGTTTGTTGTACTAGTTTATGTTTGAGTTACTATTTGTATTGTTTCTATTACCATATTTTATATTTCAAAAGTAAAAAAGTTCAATCAACAAATTCAAAACATCATGAATCACACAGAATCTTTTCCATTATCCTTACCAGATGTACCAGAGATGGACCCAGTTTGTGTTGGAACAGCTTTGAAAGTAAAAAGAGTTTAAGAAAATATTAATCTCATAGAAATAGAGGGTTAATTTTTATATTATCACAATTAGAAGTTTATTATTTAAATGATTGCTCTTGTCTTAATAACCCAGATACACCAAAAGATTCCACTGAAAGCATTTTGTATTTGAGGGAATCTGTGAGATTTAAATGTTACATATTGTGTTGTTTATTTACTTCATGCTATCTGACTACACTTGTCAGTAAATTAACAACAATCAAGATCCCCAATGATCTTGATTATATAACTCCATCTCTTTTGAAACCAGTTAATTATCCAATGTTCTCTGTAAATAGAACTTTTTAATAGGATTTCATGAGGTCATAAGCAAATTTAAAGAGAACAACACAAGACTCGTAATGGAACTCAAGGACAATAAAAAAAGTTTCTTCCAACATATTAACAAGAAAAAAGTCAAGGAAACTGTAGGCCTACTAAAGAGAGAAAATGGTAAGGAAATTACAACAACAGGGAGAAAGCAGAGCTGCTTCTCATACTTTGCATCAGTCTTCACACAAAAAGAAACCATAGCCCAACACACCAAAAAAACCACTGCAAAAGCCAGACTAGAAACAAAAATCAAAATAAGTAAGAAAATGGTAGAATGCCTATCCCAGTGGTGGCGAACCTATGGCATGTGTGCCAGAGGTGGCACTCAAAGCCGTCTCTGTGGGCATGCATGCCGCTGCCAGCAGCTCACACAGGTCCATTAGGCTGCCACTGCCGCCCGGAGCAGCAGCCCTGCCCAGCACAAAGGAAGTGAAGCAGCCAACTAGCAAGCTTGAGTAGAGGTAGTAGAGCATGCCCACACCCAGCAAGCCAAAGGCCACCCCAAGTTTATTTTATTTATTTATTTATTTAATTTATTTATATGCCGCCCAATCCCAAAGGACTCAGGGCGGCGTAGAAAATTAAAACAATCATCGAAAATAAAACAATAAAATAATTCAATCATACCGCAAGTCCGATCATGTCCCGCCCCCCCCCCCCGGGACATCAGCCCCAGGCCTGCTGGAACAGGAGAGTTTTAATGGCTTTCTTAAAGGCCGGCAGGGTGGGAGTTGTTCGAACCTCGGGGGGAAGTTGATTCCACCAGGTCGGAGCCACCACAGAAAAGGCCCATCCCCCAGGGCCCACCAGCTGACATTGTCTGGCCGACGGGACCTGAAGGAGGCCCAATCTATGGGACCTTACCGGTCTCTGGGAACTGTGCGGCAGTATGCGGTCCTGTAACTAACCTGGCCCTATGCCATGAAGGCTTTAAAGGTGATAACCAACACCTTGAATTGCGTCCGGAGACCCACAGGAAGCCAGTGCAGCTCGCGGAGGATAGGTGACACGTGGGCGTACCTTGGCGCGCCCACAATCGCTCTCGCAGCTGCATTCTGAACCAACTGCAGCCTCCGAACGCTCTTCAAGGGTAGCCCCATGTAGAGCGCATTACAGTAATCCAGTCTTGAGGTGATGAGAGCATGAGTGACTGTGAGTAAAGCCTCTCGGTCCAGATAAGGCCGCAACTGGTGCACCAGGCAAACCTGGGCAAAGGTCCCCCTGGCCACAGCCGATAGATGTTGTTCCAAATTTAGCTGTGAGTCCAGGAGGACACGCAAGTTGCATGCCTGCACTGAGGGAGGTAAATTTGCCCCCCCCAGGACTAATGATGGACCATCCAGTTGACCTTTGGGAGGCAAGACCCAGAGCCACTCGGTCTTGTCAGGGTTGAGTCTAAGCCTGTTCACCCCCATCCAGACCCTCACATCTTCCAGGCACCGGCACATCACATCGACTGCTTCACTGAAAGGACACGGGGTAGAGATATATAATTGGGTATCATCCGCGTACTGATGATACCTCACCCCGTGTCGCCGAATGATCTCACCCAGCAGTTTCATGTAGATGTTAAAAAGGAGGGGGGACAGGACCAAGCCCTGAGGCACCCCATGATCGAGGCGCCTAGGGGTCGATCTCTGTCCGCCCGCCAGCACCGACTGCGACCTGTCAGAGAGGTAGGAGGAGAACCACCGCAATACGGTGCCACCCACCCCCACCTCTCTGAGACGACGCAGAAGGATACCATGGTCGATGGTATCGAAAGCCGCTAAGAGGTCAAGAAGCACCAGGATAGAGGAGTGACCCCTATCCCGGGCTCGCCAGAGGTCATCGGTCAGTGCGACCAAAGCAGTCTCAGTGCTGTAGCCGGGCCTGAAACCAGATTGAAAAGGGTCCAGATAATTAGTTTCATCCAAGGATCGCAAGAGTTGGGACGCCACCACCTTCTCTACAACCTTCCCCACAAAGGGGAGGTTGGAGACAGGATGAAAGTTCTTCAAAACAGCTGGGTCCAGGGAAGGCTTCTTGAGGAGGGGCCTCACCACCAGTTGCGGGAAAGACCCCTCCATCAAGGAGGCATTGATTATTGCCTGGAGCCAGCCTTGTGTCACCTCCCTACTGGCAGAAACCAGCCAGGAGGGGCACGGATCCAATAAACAGGTGGCGGCATTCATTGCCCTCACGGCCTTGTCCACTTCATCAGGGGTCACAGGCTCAAACTCGCTCCAGATAACATGACTAAGACCAGCCCCCGGCAACTCGGCTGGCACTGCCCAGTTGGAGTCCAGGTCTCTCTGAATCTGAGCGATTTTGTCCGAGAGAAACTGAACAAACTCCTCAGCTCTCCCCTGCAAGGGTTCCTCCGCCTCCTCCACTTTAAGAAGGGAGCGGGTCACCTTAAACAGGGCGGCCGGGCGAGATTCTGTGGACGCAGTAAGTGCGGAAAAGTGAACACGCTTTGCCGCCCTTATAGCCACTAAATAAGTCCTAAGATAGGCTCTTAATAGTGATCGATCAGATTCAGAGTTACTGGCCCTCCAACGTCGCTCTAGACGTCTCTTGTGGCGCTTCAACTCCTGGAGCTCCTCAGTAAACCAAGGCGCCCTCCGGGGACCACCACCACAGAGAGGTCGCAAAGGCGCAATTTGATCCAGGACCCTGGACGCCGCCTCATTCCAGGCCGCAACCAGGGACCCGGACGAGTTGTGGACAAGGGAGTCAGGTATTCCCCAAGCTCCTCCTGGAACCGATCTGGGTCCATTAGGCGCCTGGGGCAGAACCACCTAGTCGGCTCCCTCTCCCTGCAATGGGGGAGAGATGCTCTGAAGTCCAGCCTCAATAGGAAATGATCTGTCCATGACAAGGGTGAGATCTCTATTCCCCCTAATTCCAGATCATGTCTCCATTGCCCCGAGAGAAACACAAGGTCGAGTGTGTGACCACCCCTATGAGTCGGATCCTGGATTACCTGGGTCAGGTCCATGGTTGCCACGGAAGCCATGAACTCCTGTGCCGCCTCTGAGCAATCGCCGAGTGATGGTAGGTTAAAGTCCCCCAGTACCATAAGTCTGGGGAACTCCACCACCAACTCGGCTACTGACTCCAGCAACGCAGGCAGGGCTGATGCAACGCAGCTGGGAGGTAGGTACGTCAGCAGCAAGCCCAACTGAACCCGTGAACCCAACTTCAATAGGAGGGACTCACACCCAACAACCTCCGGGGCAGGAATCCCATGAGGACTCAAGGACTTCCGAGCGATAACTGCCACTCCCCCACCCCTGCCCTGATGTTGAGGCTGATGAAGCACCACAAACCCGTCCGGGCACATCTCCGAGAGGGAGACACCCCCCTCAGGGCCCAGCCAGGTTTCGGTTATACATGCCAGGTCCGCCCCGCTGTCCAATATTAAATCACGGACAAGGGGGGCTTTGTTGACAACGGACCTGGCATTAAGCAACAGCAGCCTACAACTAGGGCCCTGTACTCCCCTGTCACCAGTACTACAGGATGAGCCTTTTGAGGGGCCGGAACAAGGAATCGCTCTAATATAGCGAGTCCTCGTTCCCCAAAGATGGCCTGCCCCTCGGCTCCCGCCATATCTGCCCATCCCAGTCATAACCGGGATGCTCCGACCTTCTCTCCTCCCCGGAGTACCCCCACCCTCACCAGCCTTCTCCCTTCCTGACCGGACTAGCTTTCCATACAGACCAAGCCCAAGGGTAAGTCCTGCCCCCCCTACTTTTGCTATTGCACTCAGCAGAGGGGGTACCAGGCTCCGCCCCTGACTTCACCATTCTCATACCCCAAACACTCAATACACATTCACACTCAATTTATATACATAAAAATAAAAATATTCACATTCATATGCCCTAAATACAATAATAAAATTTATACATAACAGGGCCACCATTCATCTACATACATACACATACCCACAACAAACATTCTCTAAAAAATATTGCCCCTCTGTGTCCCAGGCTGGCCCAATGTGGCCGGTTAGGTGATCATTAGGTACTTGTCTTGGGGCAGCCCGTACTTGGCCTTATGCTCCTCAAAGAGCTGGGTCAACTTCTCCAAGTACCTCTCGTGCAGCTCATCAATGGCTTCTCCGGATATCCAAAAATTGTGTAAAGTCAACCCAGCCACGGCGGGACTGTAATTCGTCTTCTTCCACGGGGTGCCAGTATAGGCCGGTTCCTCCGGCCTGCTCGACAGCCTCCCCAAGGGCCCGTTCCCCAATGCGGCGGGACCCAGCAACAGCGTACAATTGAAGCTGAAGGTGCTAGCCTTATTGTCGCGCTTCCTCTTGTTGCTGGCTGTCACTGCAGCGGCGGCAGTTGCCGCCAAGGCAACGGGCGAAGTCACGCGGGGAGCCCAGGTCACTGGAGAAGGCACCGCCGTGGAGCCCGAGGAAAACGACAAGGCGGCGGCGGCAATGATAGCGGAGAAGAAGGAAAAGGAAGCCACACACGGGGCAGCGAGGGTTGGCTGAGCGCCGGGCCGGATTGCCCAGGTGGGCGGCTGCGGCGAGGCCTGCTGCCACGGGGGAGGCTGTGGCTGCTGGTGGGGCAGGCCGACACTCTCCAGCGGCAGAAAGTCGGGCTGTGGGTCGCCGCCACGCAGGACGCGGGACATACCGGGCAGCGGGGACGAGGTGGCGGCGGCCTCCAGGCACAGCGAAGCGGCCGAGGCGGCAGACGAAAAAGTCAAGGAGGCTGAGGAGGAGGCCGGGGCGGGGCGGCGGGCTGGGGTGGCGGCAGCGGGCTGCTACTGGTAGGCAAGGTCTCGCGCCAGCTCCGGCTGAAGTGGGGGGTGGCGGCAGCAGGAACGCCGGGATCTTCTGGGCGA